TAAATAAGTGATTAATGAGTTCATTGGTAAATAAGTGATTAATGAGTTCATTGGTAAATAAGTGATTAATGAGTTCATTGGTAAATAAGTGATTAATGAGTTCACTGGTAAATAAGTGATTGATGAGTTCATTGGATCTTGTGATGAACCTAGCTATCTGTGGGGTGACTAATAAATCTTACCAATCAATATTTATATATATAGATATTTACCAGTGTATTTGTGTCACCAAAGAATCATACATTGTGGAACTCTACCAATGGACCATCAAACCCTTCTCGACCTCAGTGAAGTATGTTAACTTAGTGACTGAAGGTCTTATAATTGTGTTGTTTACCTGAGAAGTGACTGAGAGAAGTACTTGAGTGTATTCTCTATTTCTATCCCGGTGGGCTGCGGCGTGGTGTTGTTGATGATCCGGTACCTGTAATCCTTCAGGTTATGAATCTTCGACGCAACTTTAAAAAAATATATATATTTAATTTTTAAGTATACATTGTTTATATACATACCAATCAGGGTTAATTTGTCTTTTAACTTACAAAACAATATTAGAATATTTTGTAAATTGTAATAGATGGACCGTGCACAGTTTTTTTTTGTTATTTTTTTTCTTTTTTTTTCTAAATAAAAACAATGCATGAGTAAATCATACAAAATCATCTGTTAGTCCATGCCAATGGTTTTTTTTCAAACTAATGTTATAATAATCATGGCAGTTTGTTCACTTTATTTGCATGATTGTGATAAAAGAAAAAAATGTGTGTACTTTTGTTCATAATTAAACCACTTTGCAGTTTTATTTAGATATATTCTGTATAACCCCCCCAAAAAATTTTGGTTATTCCTTATTATTGTATTTAAGAAACATAATACACTTTTAAGAGCATTTAAGATAATGAATATTTATTTATTTCTGATAAAAAAAAAAAAAACGAACAATATTTCTGCACAAAACAACATATATTGCATTGTAATTTCTTCATTAAGCAATTTTAATTCAACTCAGCAGTGAATCAAAGGGTTTACAGTTACAAATACTGCACCAATCATCACAGTATAATGGAGACATCATCACTACGTACATGTACAGTGGTCTAGTTTTGGATATGACCCGGAAAAAATCGGCATCATTGAGGGAATATTTAACCAAAATTAGTCTATTACATGGATATATATCTAGTACACACTATTTCAGTTTAGGATGAAATTGTATGCATTTGAATTCTCATACACATGCATAACCAGCAATGGAAGAGAATTGGAATAATTATGACTGTTTAGTATCCAGCAATACAGTTCGGCCTGAAGTTACTGGAAGCCTAAATTATGTAACAGCCCATTAGATCTGTACTACAGTACTGTAAAAGGTATTGTTTATAGAAATGCATTCTTTTTGAAAATCTACTTACACGTTGCTGCCTTTGTGGTCATCTTGGTGACAAGAGAGGAGACCACTTGTGATTTATTTCGACTTCAAATACATCAAAATCATAACAAAAATTTGATCCATCGAACGATTCATCGTCTTCTTATCATGATCTGATTGAAGTAAAGCTAAATATCCGAAAAGTTCCGAAAAAATGTTGCTGCTGCTGATCGGTGTCGTTTATTTTTTCTATCCGGGATTAAAATATCTTAAAAATATAATCCTTATTATGAAATTAATTTAAGTGTCTGTATTAATTTTTGTATAAAAAATATTATCCCAATTATGTATTATTCCCAAATATAATACGTTAAACATAAATTGAAAATGCGAACACCATTCAATGTGGAAGTATTTATTGAGGGGTCGAAATCCAATCGACACTTACTGACTAGTGCATTTGTTAAGGAAAATCTAGAAATATTCCGAATGTTCAATTACTACCATAACGCAAGATGGCGAAAAGGTCGGACTGGGTTTACGATGAGTTGCTTTGCTTTCTCGGCAACCCATTTTTCCAAATACCGGTTATAACGTACATGGAGGAAAACTGTTTGAGTAAGTTGCATTTGCATGTATAAGGCGAAAATTGTTTATTTGATGACTGTACCGAATCGTAATTAGCAAGCAAATGCGTTGCCTAGGACTCATTTCGTTTTGCTGTTTTCGTTCAGTTCAAGACTTGTCATGATCAGAGCTGGACATATACAGATTATTTGAGCTCGAAAACATTTAATTGTGTTATCTTGCAGATCTTCATTCTCTTTTTTTTTGGTCTCATTTAATATTTTTGACAAACATGACTAAACAGATAATTACAAATGTAGTAATGAAAATGAATGAATGAATGCATGTAAATTGTACGTTTTGTATTATGTTACAAGCAATAGCATAATGCTACAACGTATGTATAGAATATACTGTGTACTGCTGGTCTACTGATGAGGGTATATATTAGTTTGTGCTTCTTTCACACATACTTAACTTTACAAAATGTTCTAAAATATACTTGTGAATAAACCTTATTTTAACTATAGAAATAAATGCATGCATAAAAGTGTAACAGAGGTCAATATTTTTTCAATGCCTCTGCTAGAAGTCGAACCTTGGACCTATGGTTTACCAGTTTTACACTCTAACGAATGAGTCAAAAGAAAAATCTCCCTAGCTGATCGAGTCAGTATCAAGAGGCTATTATTTTACCAGGGTGGCATACTCCCCGTCCAGGAAGGAACTTGTCTCTCAAATTTTCCAAGGGTTATTGTGTTTCTTGTGAAAATATTGCTGAGTATATTTGTCAGTATTTCTTTGGTCCTTACAAGGTCATTATTTTTCGATGCCTCTGCTAGGATTCAACCCTGGGAACTCTGGTTAACTTATAATTCTTACGCTCTACCATATGAGCTAAAGAGAAATGTTCCCTGGCTGAGTTGGTAGCAAGAGGCTATTATTTTACCAGGATGACACAAGCAATAGTCAGCATTTTGGTTTTGGTCAGGCATACCTGGAATCCTCGATATGTCCATACCAAATTTTCCAGAGGTCAGCCTTAGTTCAGATCTGAATCTGCCATTTTCGTTCAGATGATTCCAATTTTTTTCACAAGTTTGTTTATATTCTTACTATTCTCACAACGTTAAGTTTGAAACAGGTGGTTGACTTGAAAATAATAGCTTAAAGAATGTTTGCATACTATAATAAGTATAATATGTTTGTCTGAAAAATATTCGGTTCAAAATTGATGAAGAGCTGTTGCTACTTTTAATGATAATACTGATTCTTATGTGAACCAAATTGATCCACTTGCTTGAGATCCAGCTTTTGAAAAGGCTAAACACTATATCACCATTGTTGAGTGAATGAAAAAGATGTATTATTATATGCATAGGCAAGAATAGGTACTTAGCGAGAGTTAAGTCCAGGAATCCTCTTTCTCAGCAGGCAGTAACTTAGTCCTGATTTGAATGCTAGTAATGTATAATAGTGTTAATTCTAAATCTTCTTGTGAAGGAAGCTGAAGGTTAAATACTCATTACGAGTTACAACATCATACATCTAACAGTGTGTCTGACAATAGTTATACATTGCTCTATATCAGGTGTTCATATTGGTTAAACTGGCTAAGAACAGAAGCATAAGGGGAAACATGATATACACTCATGTACAGCTTTAATCCAAGGTTTTGATTTCAGAAATTCTTTCAAAAACATTTCTCAATTCATTTAAATTTGATTGATAGTCAAGATAGTCATCATACTCTCATGTATATATATGTACACTATAGTCAGATTAGATATTACCAAATATATGTAAAATTAACATGAAGGAGTTGAAACTATTCTTCAGAAATTGATAGTAATACATATACATGTCCACTGGTTTTGGATACCAGAAGTTTGATTTATAAATACAAAATTGATTATATTCTGGATTCAGTTATACATGGCCATGATATGGCAAGCCTTGTCTCAGATAAAAAATCTCTTCTGTAGAATATCTCTTCCACAACATGTGATTGATTCTTAAAACTATTTTCAGTATCAGATGACGACTTTTCAAGCTACACATTGGTCAACATACATGTTATTGTTTAACATTCTAGTTTCCTGTTTTGAGGAAATAATCAATTGATATTGAAATGGTGACATCAAAGACATTGATGTTATAAAACATCTTTTTTTTTCATCAAAAAATCAATACGTTTTTGTATTATATTAGATGGAGTTAAATAATTTGAGATGTTATGATGGTAGTAGTTTAAGATTCTGTTGTTCCTGGTACTGTATAGATCCTATAGGACAGATATATCTGTCTAGAGTCTAGAAAACATGTGTTTTAAGGGTATAATTACAGTAGACAGATCCAAAGCATTTGATGTGCCAGCCAGCACAGGTATCAGTATTGATTCACAACTGCCTGCAGTGCAGTGCATCACAAAGATACACAGTGAGGCTGCCAGCATGTCTCTGGCAGTATACAGTGAAAATAGTCAACAGCCGAGCCTTAATTTGTGATATGTGGAGGAAAACCCGACCAGATCTACACAGTGAACAAGTCCACAGCCCAGCCTTAATTAGTTATATGTGGAGGAGAACCAGGCCAGATCTACACCGTGAACAAGTCCACAGCCCAGTCTTAATTAGTTATATGTGGAGGAGAACCTGACCAGATCTACACAATGAACAAGTCCACAGCCCAGCCTTAATTAGTTATATGTGGAGGAGAACCTGGCCAGATCTACACAGTGAACAAGATAACAGCCCAGCCTTAATAAGTTATATGATAATGTGGAGGAGAACCCAACCAGATCTATACAATGAACAAGTCCACAGCCCAGCCTTAATTAGTTATATGTGGAGGAGAACCCGACCAGATCTATACAGTGAACAAGTCCATAGCCCAGCCTTAATTAGTTATATGTGGAAGAGAACCCGACTAGATCTATACAGTGAACAAGTCCACAGCCCAGCCTTAATAAGTTATATGATAATGTGGAGGAAAACCTGACCAGATCTGTACTGTGAACCAGTTTTTGGAAAAAAACCTATACCATGAATCGGACCTATCTTAAGAATAAGTCCCTCCCCTTATCAATTCTGTGATGAAGTCTCAAGTCGAACTGATCTTGTGACCAAGTCCACAACCAGATCTATATAGATGATGAAATCTATACAAATAACAATGTGAACAAGTCCCCAGTCTAAACTAATTTTAAAAAAAAAATAAGGAGAAATTGTTGTTCTGATATGGTTAACCACCAGTAATAAAGGCTTGTGATGGTACCAGGTACTTATTGCAATCTTTTTAAATTACATACCTGGCTGAACTTGGTGATATCATTTCATAGAAGACATTGATATTTTAATGTTTTTTCAAAATCTCTAAATATTTATTGCAAGTGCCTTACCTAAATTGAATAATGGTTATGAGGGGGCCCTCTTCTATGGCTTACAAGTGTAGCATTGAGGCATGGATAGATCCAGATTTAGTCATGGTGATAATTTTGATGCATTCATAATATGCGATTTTTGAAGTGAGAATTTTTACTTGTATATAAAAGATGTTTAAGAAAAGATGTCGCCACCAGTGACCATTGAGGCTGTTCGTAATGTTTTTGTGATGGACGTGAAAGAATATTGTCACCAGCTTGCAGTGGTCACTAAAATTGTCTGTAAAATGTTTGTGCTGGTGTGAGAGAAAACCATCGGTGGTCATTTACAGGTGAGGCTGCCAGACACTGCTAATTGATTTGTATTGTTGGTATGGTATAAAACCAGGGTTTATCAGGAATGTTCTCAAGAGATTCAGGTTGATCAGATGTTTGTCACTCTATAGACCTTCCGTGTTCTGTGAGAACACCTGCTGGATGAATGTAAATGATTCACCAGCTCTGATCTATGACCATGTAAATACTGTATCACGTTTCCACTACAGAGAAGATGGTATATGGTTAGAGTCCATTAATACGCCAATTACATATAAATTATATATATCCATGATTGTTACACTATATGAGCCATTACACCTTCCAGGCATATTATATTGTTAATTTATTAAACTCATTCACCACTGAAGACACATTTGAACTCTTCCAATTCAAAGATTGGAATAGTTTATTATGAACTTCAAAGGTGAATGAGTTAACATGTACAATAGTCATAATAATCAGCTCACTATCCTCTTTATTGATTAAATTTTAGTATGTCAGATAATTGAATCTCTGATGTTGCTTGGACAACCACATGAGCATTATGGCCCTCTGCTAGGACAACACACAATTTTGACTATGTACTGATTGTGTGGTATACTAGACTCATTATTGCTATATATATTACCATAGGCCAAAACAAAATTCACAGTTTGTATATATATGTGTGTGTTTCCCCTTCCCCTACCAACCTGGAAAAAATTTACCTCTACCTCAATATTGTATAGCCAAAATTAATTAAGAAATTTGATTTAACTAAATCCATTTAGTACAACCCATTCACTCAGAATTATTCAAGGGCATTCCTAGAAGGAGTTATATAATTTGTTAAAATGTTTAAAATGGATTTCATTGCAAATTCCAAGCATTTATTTGATAAATTATTTGGAATGGAATTTATAATGTTTGGA